ATCACTTCCGGCCAGGGCCACCTCCTTTGGCAGCTTCTCTGCCATCCTATGTGCACCATATCCTCCCACCTTTCCTTCTATGCCTTTTCTCTTTGTTTTGTTTCCTCCTTTTTTTCCTTCCTTTCTTCCTTTGACAATGTCCACTCTGTAACTCAGGCTGGTCTGGAACTTTCTAGGTAGCTCAGGCTGGCCCTGAACTAGTGGTAATGGTGTTTCTTTGGACTCCTGACTGTTGGTTCTAAGTACCAGCCACCATACCTGTACAGCTCTTCGCCTTCCTTTTTCCACATGTGTGTGTTTTATTCAGTGTGCTTTTTCAAAGCATTTACTTCCCTGTTTATCTAAAACACAGGTGTCCTTATTTGTTTCCCGTTTGTTCTCCTGAGTCTGGCACACAGTAGATACCCAGTAAATGTTTGCTGAATGAATAAATGAACAACAGAAAAGGAGCTGAGCAAAAGCATACTAGTGGCCGCTTAGACAGCAGAACCAGGCAATTATTGTCCTCTTTCCTCCTGGCCTGGCCCTGCTGGGTCTCAAGGACAGTTTTGGTGGTGGGAGAGTATGTTTCCCCGGGGTATCACAGTGAAAGGAACCCAGATGTTTGAAAGGTCCCTGGGATGGGAGGCTGAGGGGAAGGTGTGCCAGTTTCCAGGTAGAAAGAGAAGAGATGGAGTTTTGAAATGTCCTGAGGAGCTTGGGGCTGGAGACAGAGAGGGTGTGTCCCCAGGCTCTGCATGGCTTTACTCATTGTACAGCTCAGCACAGTGTTTTTTAATCCTCTGGTTGGTGACACAGGGTCTCACTACACTGATGGTCCTCCGGCTTCTGCCTCCCCAAGTGTTTTACTCACTGCGCCATCTCCCGTCTCTGTGTGCACTGCCCAGCAGGACTGGTGCTAGTTTCTAGGAAGTGTGAATTCTCTCTGCTCCCTGCAATCACTGGGGTAAACCTGTGTGAGCACACTGCGAGGAGGTCGGTGGCTGTGAGGTATGAAGGGCATTCCACAGAGCCTGGCTGTGCTGGGTAGTGGTGGTGTACATCTTTAGACCCAGCACTTGGGAGGCAGAGGAAGGCAGATCTATGTGAGTTTGAGGCCAGCCTGATCTACAGACCGAGTTCCAAGCCAGGCTCCAAAACCAAACCAAACCAAACCAAAAAACAAAACCCAAAAACCAGAGCCTGGCCGTGCTGTACCCTGACCTCTGCATCTAGCTTCCTGGGTTATGAGAAGTCAGTATCTAATGTCTGAGGCCCCACAATGTGGTTATTTGTTTTTGTTTTTCTAAGACAGGGTTTCTCTGTGTAGCTTTGGAGCCTGTCCTGGAACTCAGTTTGTAGACCAGGCTGGCCTTGAACTCACAGATCCACCTGCCTGGACCTCCAAGTGTTGGGACTAAATGTATGCGCCACCACCACCCAGCCTCATTATTTATTACAGTAAGCTGCACAGGTAACAGGATCTCCAGTCTGGCTTTTCTCCATGTGGTCCTCCTAAATTCATGCTAAACCAGGGACCTAGGCTCAGATCAAGCAGGGTTAGAGTCCCTCTTCTAGGCTTTTCTTGTCCTGCTTTGAACTCCAAGCTCTCATAGATCCCTTACCCTCTCACACTCCTCCCAGCCCTGGCCTCAGATCCTGTCTCTTGCCCCACAGCCATGCTTCTGAAGCACAGAACACATAGTAAATCTTTAAATAATAATAATAATAATAATGAGGTTAGCCTCAGGACCACTGTGTACTGTTGAACAGGTTATGCAATACACAAGCATCACAGCAACGCACTTGGACTTCACCCTAGAGGTAACAGGGAGACATCAAAAGCCTTTCCCACCAAGAGTAATTACTTTTATTTATTTGCCTGGTGCCTACGTAGGCCAGAAGGGATTGTCCAATGCTCTAGCACTGGGGTTATTCATGGTTGTAAGCTGCCAACTTGTGTCTTCTGTAAGAATAGCCTGTGCTTTTAATTGCTAAGCCATTCTTTCTTTTAAATGGGCGAAAAAATCATTCCTTAAATTATTTTGACCAGGCACTAAAGGTCCCGGTGGCCCTGGACCTCTTTCATCTGCTCCTGGGGGAAATTTATCTGTAGCCACATTGAATATATCACATCTTTTCATATCCCTGTCCTTCATACACACATTTGTTTACCTGCCTAAGAATGCTGGAGAGGTATGACTGGCATAGATCAGAAATTCAGTTTCCCTGCAATTGGTTGGGCAGGTGACCTCTAATCTTCAGTTTCCTAATCTTAAGAATGGGATTACACGTAAAACTCAGTCCTCATATCGCCCTTCCAGTAAAAGGTGGTTTCTCAACGGTGGTGATGGCAAAGAACTTTAGTCCCGGTACTCCGGAGGCAGAGGCAGGTGGATCTCTATGAGTTCAAGGCCAGCCTGGTCTATAGAGTTCCAGGACAAGCATAGCTACACAGAGAAGACATATCTTGAAAACAAACAAACAAACAAACAAACGGTGGTTTCTCAGAGCTGGGTGTGGTGGCCCATGCCTTTCATCCTAGCACAGAGAAGGTTGAGGCACAGAGAGTGGCATTGAGTTTCCGACCACCCTGGGCAATAGAGTGAGTGAGACCTTGTCTCCAAAACAAAACAAAGCTAAACAACAACAGGGCTGGGGAAACGGCTTAGTGGGTAGCGCCCTCACTATGCCACATCGAAGACCAGAATTTGAATCCCCAGAACATCAAGCCAGATGCAGTAGTATGCATCTGGAATCCCAGCATGCCTGTGGGGAGATGGGAGGTAAACCCAGGAGGATCTCTGGAAGCTCTCCGACAGCTAGCCTGGTACATAACCTCGAACAACAGACCCTGTCTCAAACAGGGGATGGACACTAAGATTGTCCTTTGACCTCCACACATACACGGTTACATACACACACACACACACACACACACACACACACACACACACGCATGTGTATCTGATGCCTGAATTCACACACCCACACACTTTAAAAACAGTAACAAAAACCCACGAAAAATCCGCTACCACGGGGGCTGGAGAGACGACTCAGTGCTTAAGAGCACTAGTTGCTCTTCAAGAGGACCTGGGTTCAATTCCCAGCCTGCACAGGGCTCACAGCTGTCTAACTCCAGGGGGATTCCAACACCCTCTTCTGGCCTCGGTGGGCAATGCACGCACATGGTGTGTTCAGGTATGCCACTCTCTGCTCTGTTTGGTCCCCTTCTCTGCTCAGGACTCAGGAAAGAGCTCTGAATGTCCAGGATAGCTATTGTGCAATAAACTTTATTTTCCATGAAGCACACAGTGAGATGTGGAGGACTCTCTCCACTAAGCCTAGAAGTGGGCACTAACTGGGACCCCACTGGAGGAGGTCATAGCCTGTACTGCTAGCCTAGCATACCCCCATTCCCAGTCTGATTTGCTTTTCCTGAGTTGAAATCATAATCCCTCAGGTCTGACCTTGGCCAAGGCCGATGGTGTTCACTATAGGAGGGGACACACACTTGCTCCACATTCAGTTACAGTGGGCCTCTTCTGTGAGCTTCCCCTTACATGCCACTGGGTAGGATGTCGTCTGCCCAACAAATGGCAGGTAGGCTGGACAAAGAGAAACAGCTTTTGCAGGGCTGGCTGGGTGTGGGAAGGAAAGGGTGCAACTTCTCCGACCAGCGGGAGAAATGGCCTCTTTGCATTCTTGACTCTCTGCTGCCCCCTTGTGGTTGTACGGCTGGTGCTGCCACATAGTTGTAGGTGTGTGTGTGTGTGTGTGTGTGTGTGTGTGTGTGTGTGTATTGGGGCTGGAGGATACAGCAAGAATGGAGTTGGGGCAGGGTGATGCACTTGTATCTGTGCTATGGGGGTCTCTCTTCCCCATTCACCAGATGTGTGTTATGAGAGCAAAGCTAGGCAGCTGTGATACCTGCTCTAGGGTACTTGCTTATCAAGAAACTGGAAGTAAAGATGGGGGTGGTGATATTCATTTGTAATGTATCAGGAAGGGGAGATTAGACAATAAGAACATGAGTACTGCCGAGTCTTTTCTGATCATGGGGACAAGGATCCCACAGCCACAGCCAAGCCAGCTTTCAGAATCCTAGGCCAACATCCCAGAATAGTTGATAAAGCTAGATAAGAGTCCTAGCTTGATGCTGCCTAGACCAGGGATCTTTCTAGTATGCTCTTGGGAAAAAGATCCAAGACCTTGGCAAATTATACCTAAAATGAGAGGAACCCAGAAAGCTTTACTAGATAGCTAGGAGTTGATCAGACAGGTAAGATCAGTGAAAACTTTAAATGCTTCGTCTGTGTGTGTGTGTGTGTGTGTGCGCGCGCGCGCTTCTTTTTCTCAACAGAGTCTCATATAGTTTAGACTTACCTAAACTCCTTGTGTAGCTAAGAACGACCCTGGACTCTGCTCTCCCTGCCTCCTGGGTGCTGGGATTACAAGCATTCACCACTGTGCCTGGTTTGTGGTGCTGGTCATCGAGCCCAGCCTTCATTCATGTCAGACAAACACTGTCAAATGAGTTACATTCTCAGTCCCCAAAACCTTCCAATCCTGGGCCGGTGGCTCCACAGCAAATAGAGGCAGGAACAGGTGTGAGAGAGATCTCCCCGAAATGGATGCATTGTCACCAGCTTCTAGACAGGAAACCTATCACCTGCTGTTTTCCATGAGGCAGGGGTCATAGGTCTCTGTCTCAACCTCCCACGTAGGTTGAAGCCAGTGAAGCCAGAGGGTCGTTGCAGGCAATTTTTACATAAGAAATCTTGAGTGCGGGTGGGCTTCAGCAGCATGGAGGAACACACTGAAGAGTCCCAGCTGAGTCCCCAAGGAACAGCCTTCTTATGGATGGGTCTCTTTTTATAACTGAAGAGCCTGAAGCCCAAGATCTGGGTAAAGGTTACTGTTCAATGTTACAGCAGGTCCAAAGGCTTCAACCTGATCGATCCTCGGGTCCAACAGTCAAGTCTGTCAGTCTAGCCATAGCTCCATGTCTAGGGCAAGTTTCTTGAGATGTCAGGGAAGGTACACGGGCAACTCCCTTCTATACCCTGTCTGTGTCCTGGAGCAGGGCAGTCACCAGGCTGATGACCTGGAAAGCCGGCTGGTCTGCATCGTACTCTGCGAAGAGGTGGCACACATTCTCTTGTGGCTCTGTCTGACTCTTGGCCACAAACCCAAAGATCCTGGTGAGAGAAGACAGTCTGTGGGGATGTGGGCTAGTGAGGCATCACACTGAGGGGAAGGGTACTTAGCCTGAGCCTAACTGCCTCTCTCTAAGCCAGCTGACTTCAGCATCCTCTCTCTCTCTCTCTCTCTCTCTGTGTGTGTGTGTGTGTGTGTGAGGTGCACCTGTTTGTGTGGACATGGCATATGTCCATACATGCGTTCAGAGGCTAATGTTGGGCATCTTCCTCCATTGATGTCTACTAATTTTGAGACAAGGTTTTTCACTGAATCTAGTGCTCACCAATTGGCTAGGCTGGCCAGCCAATGAGCACCAGGGATTCACTGTCTCTGCCTGCCCAGCACTTGAGTTACAGACTCACTGTCTGACTTTTTACATGGGTTCTGGGAAATCGAACTTCATGTCCTCATGCGTGAGTGATAGGCACTTTCCTCACTAAGTCAATTCCCCAGAACTTTCAGCATCTCCTCAGAATGGAGCAGCTAAGGAAAGAAGGTGCCCCCCTGTCAGGCTAGGCGATCACTTATTTCAGGCCCTGGGTCTCCATTTTGAATGGGACTTGGAGGCTCCAATAGGACAAGGATGTACTTGACCATCATCTCTATAGCTCTGAGATACAACGTGCACCTCTGGAATGGCATCTGGAGCTCCAGACTGGGGGATCTCTTCAGAGCTGTACCACACTGGCTCCTAAGACCAAGATGGAAACCCCCTCCCTCCATCCCTCCCTTTCTCCCTCCCTCCCCTCTTTTCTTTATTTCTATTAGATAGGGTGCTGTGAAATAATCCTTTTGTACTCTGTAAAGAGTGTGGCTCTCATTGGTTTAATAAAAAGATAATCAGCCAATAGCTAGGCAGGAAGAGGTTAGGTGGGAGAGCCAGACTGGGAGAATGCTGGGAAGAAGAAGGTGGAGTCATTAGCCAGATGCACAGGGAGCAAGATGTGTAGAAAATGAGGTAACAAGCCATGAGCCACATGGCAGCATGCAAATTAATAAATATGGGCTAATGTAAGTTTTAAGAGTTAGTTACTAACAAACCTAAGTTATCAGTCAAGCATTTATAATTAATGATAAGTCTCTGTATTGTTATTTGGGAGCTGGTTGATGGGACATAAACCTCTGCCTACAACAGGGTCTCACTGTAGCCCTCTCTAGCTAGTCTGGAACTGTCTACATAGACAAGGCTAGCCTGGACCCAACTTTATAGACCAAACTGGCCTTGAACTCTCAGTAATCCCCCTGCTTTCTGCCTGGTAAATTCTGAGATTACAGGTGTGCTAGCACACCCGGTCCACACTCCTTCTGTTAGGTCTGGGGCCCTGGCACAAGGCTGCCTCTTAGAGCCACTGAATGGTGGGAGGGGCTTACCTGGAAGCCTTGCAGTATTTTTGCCACCTGAAAGAAAGGGACACGACAGGAGTGAGTGATGGGGCTCTGCCCTACTCCTCAGGACTGTGATGGACAGTGGGAGCCCACGTCTCTATCTCTGCCATGCCCCACCTGGCCTGATCCCCAACCTCTTAGGGTTCATAGACTGTCTCTGCTATTTCAATCCCAGAGTCAGCAGGTACCATGGAAAGTCGCTAGGCCTGGAAGGGCCTTCTTAGCTTGGCTCAGCCTTGAACTTACTTCCGTTGCTCGGGGTCCATTCCACAGAATCGGAGGGTGGTGAGTGGATAGTGGCGTCGGAAAAACACCCTGGGTGGATGCAGGTAGAAAAGACAGGCTGGTGAGGGCCTATTCCCATGCTGTGCCCCCATTTCCCGTTCCCACAGAGCTCACACGTCCTATCCTAGTACGATTCTTACAACCTGTCATGCTTTGTCTCTCACTACTGGGACTGGGCACAGAGGCTGCGTCTTTCTCCTCCCATGGAATACATCTGCCTTATACTCTTATATTGGGGTCTTCTGCCATCCACCCCCATACCATTTACTTTTTGAGGCCAGGAGTTACAGGTTGGTCTACTCTTGCATCCTGGTTAAATTAGGAAAGGCTTTGGCTAGATTGAGTCCCCAAGTCCTGGGGTGAGCTCATTCTGCTCTGTCTGAGGAGTCACTAGTGTCTGGCCTACACACACAGGCTTAATCAGCACCCAACTGCCTAACTTCATTCCTGTTGGTTCCAACAGGATATTGATACTTTGTCTGTTATCACCCAGCATTTGCCAGCCCTTTCAGATACAGGGCCCTGACCTCTGTCCCCAGCCTTCGCTCTGTTAGCCTTGAAGCCCAGGAGCTAGGAGAGGCCCTTACTTTCTCTGGACATCTGTCAGAGTGATGCCCTGTTCGGTGACTTTGAAATGGACCATAGTAGGTGTAGGGAGGACGTCCCTCTCCAAGGTGATGGAGATGGCCTTCTGCACAGCCAGGGCTCCACTCAGGGTCTCCACACTCACAGAGATCAGGTACAGCGTGTGGCAACCTGTGGGAGGCAATTAATGAGCTGGGTCTGTAGCCAGGGTGTCACAGTGGGTGGAGATCACTGGCCTAGTGTTCTCCCTACACTCAGGGGACAGAAAAGGGGCAATGGGAATGCCTTTCTTCTTCAGGAATCCAGTGGCATCCTCTTAGAGCCACCAAACAGACGGGGAGTCCAAGGCGAACAAAACTTCCTTTCCTCTACCTATGGCTCCCCCACCGTCTTGGTGAGACTAGAGACAGAAAGAAAGAGCAGGAGGAGGGGCACCGCTATGCTTTGGGGGAGGGAGGCACAAAGCAGGAGCTGTCACTGAGTGCTAATGGATGCTTGGCCCCTGGAAGTGGGGAGCATTGAGTTGAAACCCTTAGGATTCAGACCTCATCCCCCACAAAGCATCCAGACCTGGAGACCACCCCCAGGGCAGGAATCTCAAACACAGAGAGACCCTGTTACAGATATGTGTACAATATGTGCAAGGGTGTCGGCTTACCAGAACCTCCCCCCTTCCTCCCCACCGGCCCACAGCGGCAGCCTCTCATCTCCTGCTTTATGAGGCCAAGGAGGGGGTGTGCAGTGGGCTGTTAAGGCTGCAGAAACAAAGCGGTAATGGGAAGCATGTGTGGACTTGTGTGAGTCTCTGTGTGTGTGTGTGTGTGTGTGTGAGAGAGAGAGAGAGAGAGAGAGAGAGAGACTGTATGTGTGTGTGTTCATAGGGCTGGGAGATAGTCTGATGCCTGCCCTATACTACTCACCAGCTGACATCTTCAGGGAAGAGGTCTGGCCATGTGCAGGGGAGTCCGAGGCCGGTTCTGCGCCTCCCAGTTCTGAACAGAGGCAAAGGAAAACGCCCGCCCACAGGGGAGAGGGTGGAGTGAGTGGACCCCTCTCAGGGGAGCAGCCCTCAAGAATCCCTTTGAACACCTCCCACAGCCACCCCCACCTCCAGGAAGTGACAGGCTGGGAAGCCAGGTGTGATTGCCTCAATTAGGGAAACAAGGACCACTTTGCCTAGCTTGCAAGCCTTTTGATCCCTTCCAACCTCTACCCTTCCAGGTCTGGTGAGGCTGCTTGGACCTTGTCCTCACAAGCCCCTACCCCGCCCCCCCCCCCAGCCCAAGCTCTCCTCTGCAGAGTAGGGATGCTGTGTCGCCATCCCTCGATTGTTTAGGGCTCTTTCTGCCCCCTCTCCACCTTCATCCCTGCACGACTGGGGTGAACCCCTTGGTCTGGGCTGCAGGTTGTGGATGAGGCTGCCCACCTGAGCTTGGGGTTGACTCTGTGGGCTCGTGGACCAGCTACTTAAGCCTGGAACCTCGTTTATTTTCCCTCCTTCCTTCCTTCTCCTTTCTGCTTTCTTTTTTTATCAGTCTTATTACATATTGCTGACTGGACTGGAACTCACTATGTAGCCTCAAGTTCCTGGTCGGTCATGTTGCCTCGGCCTCCCAAGTGCTGGGATTATAGGTAAAGGCCATGACCTCATTACTTATCTATGAAATGGAACTCTAGGCAAGAGTTATGAGGGTGGTGGGAGTGGTCTGTGTGTGTGGGGGTAACATCAGACTTGTCCATCCAAACTGTTGGATTTAGGCTCTTTAACCTTCTCAAAGAAGGCTGCTGAGTCTCTAAGCCAGTGGTTCTCAACCTTCCTGAGGCTGTGACCCTTTAATGCAGTTCCTCATGCTGTGGTGACCCCCAACCATAAAATTATTGTCGTTGCCACTTCATAACTGTAATTTTGCTGCTGTTATGAAGTGTAGTGTAAATATCTGATACTCGACCCCTGCAAAAGTTTCATTGGACACCAATGACGGGTTGTTACCCACAGGTTGACAACTGCTGCTCTAAGGTCTATTCTGGGCCAGGCACTGTGGTGCAAGCCCTGTCTGAACAATCTCATTGAATCTGAGTGCTGGCTGGCGCTTTGGGTATATCTAAAGATGGCTGTTCTTACTGGTGTGTGTGTGTGTGTGTGTGTGTGTGTGTGTGTGTGTGTGTGGCGGGGGAGTTGGGGCACTGGGGCTCAGAGGAGTGGACATCCTTAAATTCTCGCGGGTGGAAAATGGAGAGACATGGACCCAGTCTAGAGCAGACACTTGTCAGACTGACCCTAAAAGAACTCACAAACAAGGCTGAAGTGGCCACTTTCAGTGAGAGCCAGCCACCTACCTTTCTGAGGGATGATGAGTTTGCAGGGCAGGGCCAGGGCCATGATGGAGTGCTGGCACACGAAGGCAGAGAGGCTCCCTGAAAAGGAGCAGGAAGCCCTGAGTGAGTAGAACCTTCCTAACCCCGTTAGAGGTGCAAGAGGCCCTGCCCCAGAGACGGGGAGGCTGGGGAGGGAGGCTTACCAAAGTAGGGCTCCTCATCAGCTCCTTTCAGATGTACCCCTTTAGCTGAAGACTCGACCAGGAAGTGCCGAATAACGTCAGTGCTGTCCTCACCTAGACAAAGAAGGGAGAAGGAATTTTGTTTAAGAGCCCCGTGTTAGCCAAAGTCTGGCCAGTATGTCCCTACCCACTTCTCCCAGGCCCGTTCCGAGGCTCGCATGCGCATGCTTGCCTCCTCCTCCACGGAGCTCATTCCATGCAGCACATTCACTCAGAGTACGTGTTTAGAAATTCCCCATCCCATCCCAGGTACCATTATTTCCCATCAGCTCATCCCTGCAGGAGCAAGGCTGGCTTTGACATGCAGAGGAATGCCCTCTGCCCCTCCATCACAGCTTCCTCCTCCATTTAGGCTCATTGCCTCTTGGAAAGGAAGGCTTCCTTGAAAACCAACACCCACCACAGAGGTCACTGATTTGCCCCCTACTCCCTACCCCATGCTGTGGCCGTAACCCTCTACCACTGAGCCAACCCCCCAAACCCTTGCTAAGAACACAAAGTTGGGTGTTCCATCCTCATTCCATGTCTTCAATCTTCCCGGCTCATTCACTTGCAGAGACTGACACTTGGGCTTAAGTGAGGGGACAAGTGCCCTGGGGCCTTGTAGAACTCTCATTACATGTTTGTTCTCATTTATCTCCCCAATGAGGCGGTTTCCACATGTGAGTGAGTCCTCTACATGCCTGGTTCCTTACACAGGGGCTGGCACATGGTAGACCCCTCAGAGATGTGTGTGTTGAGTTACCAGATAAACACGTGAGATCATAGGAGAGCAAACACACTATCACACACTGTGATTAGCAAATATACATGTGATAAGCTCTCTTGAACAAGATGAGGTTTTTTTTTTTTTTTTTGTTTTGTTTTGTTTTGTTTTCTCCCCAAGATAAGGTTTCTGTATAGCCCTGGCTGTCCTAGAACTCTCTCCATAGACCAGGCAGGCCTTGAACTCAGAGATCTGCCTGCCTCTGTCTTCTGAGTACTGGGATTAAAGCCACTGCCTAGCAGGATGAGCTATTGATCTCAGGTAAGTTACTACAGGAATGATAAGATAGTGGGGGGTGTGATAAGCCCCACACATACATTCGTCACATTAGGTTCCTGAAGATAAATCCAGGCTACACAGAATTGTCCAGAAGACAGCAGCCTGAGGAGAGGCTGGGACCTCCCTCTTCCTCTCCCGTTCTTGGAACAGGGAGACTGGGGAGGCAGGGCACCTCAGGCTTTCAGGATGTTCCTCAGGGTGCCTAGGTGCTAGAGGGTGAAGGGAGAGCCAGAAGGAGGGACCCTCCTGGGAATCAGCTTGACAGTCACTGTCAAGCTGGGACAGAGTCCATCTCGGCGAGGGCTCTGGGGTGACATACCTGGTCCATTTGGGGCAGATGCTGGTGTCTCCTGTACCTTCAGGGCAAGGCCGAAGGAGCCTCTGTAGGAGGAACTGTCTCTGATGACAAACGCGCCTGGCTTCTCCTTCCTCAGCAGATCGATTGCTGGAACAGTCTTTGGTTAGAGGTCAATCCACTCTACACCAGCACTCTATTCCCATTCCCATGGGGTCCTCCCAGAGAGATCATACAACCTTCTGTCCCCAGGAAGTCCTTCTCCTGTCCACTTCCTGTAGGTTTTGCTTACTGCCTATTTCCTAATGAGGCCAGCAGGTCACCTGCCCTCCCCACAGGCTGCTATTTGCCATCTTCGCTACCACCATGACCTAGGACCCCATCTGCCTGCTGTACAATACAGGCCGGACATAATTACTCGGTCACTTGTCCCCTAAAATACAGTCCTGGCTTTACCTTGCTCTCGAGTGATGCTTGGCTTAAACCAATATTTTGATGTGTCCATCACGAACTTCATGGTGGGCTGCGTGTCCTTGGCAGGACCTGGAGACAGGCAGAGAAGAGACGCTCTGTAAGCTGGATACAGGGTGACTGAGAGACAGCCAGAGAGAATGCCGGAGGGGCCTGTCCTACTCTTCCCCCCAGGGACCCTCCTGTTTCACTCATCTTTTCTGAGCCCATGTCCAGGGTCTTTCCAAATAGACCAAATACTGCTCCAAGTGCTGGAGCTGTAGTTCAGTGGGTAGAGAGCTTGCCTAGCACATGTGAGGCAGGAGGATTGCATTGAGGACAAAGCCAGTTTGGCTACAGAATTAGATCCTATCACAAAAGCTGGAAACAATGTTGGCAGGATGGTTCAGGGGGTAATAGTTCTTGGCATGCAGGCCCGAGTTTGATCCCCTAAACCCACGTAAAGGTGGAAAGAGACAGCCTTTACATGTCATCTGTGGCACACGGGCCCCCACCTAGTAATAATGTTTTTTGTTGTTTTAAAGGCATAGACAAGTCGCCATCTTTTTCCTGTTTGGGTTGCTTTCAGGGGAGTCTTGGACTACAGCGAATACTTTATAGACACAGGAGTCATAAGCTCCTCCCGAGGAGGAGCCAGGCTCTGCCAGCAGATGGCTGAGGGAAGAGAGTCTGGGACTACTTCCCTGGTTCTCTGCTCATGGGAGGTGTGAGCCCCGAGGGCATTCCCACCCAGCTCAGCTTGTGTTTACTGCTTTGAGTTCTTTGTATGTCTATAGTCACAGGCTCCGGGAAGGGGGGTGTTTGCTATTTTGTGGTTTCCAGCCATCTGTGTAGGAATGCATTGTCTCCATTCCCTGCCTTCCCCATCTATGTCATCCATGAACACCAGAGCAAGGACCCTCTGGCTCTCCTTGGGTTAGCCGGTTAGTCACCAAGCCTCTTTCAGATCACCTGAGGGTTGCCTGGTTCTGTTTCTTCCCTCACCCCAACTACCCAGCCCTGTTTCTAGCCCCATAACCCTTCCGCTAGGCAGCTTCCAGGGTAAACCATTAACGTCTATACTACTGAGCCAACATCTTCTTCTCTGCTTTAATTTCTTGTTGTCTAAAGAGTGAAATCCACATTTTAGTCTGACATTCAAGGCCTTGTAGTCTGCCACTATTCTCAATGATCTGTACCCAACATGCGAGAAGTTTCCTTACTGTGCTTTGTGGGCACTTTGTCCTAACTATGAGGTCCCCGTTACCTCTGCAAGGAATTCCTTTTCTCCCTTCCTCTGGTTGCTGACTAGCTTAGCTATCACATCCTCCATTCTCCAAGCTACCCAAGCCACTCCATCTGCCACCTGTGAAATGTCTATACCTCTGTGAGAACCCTACTCTATAATAAGTCTTGGTTTGGGCCATTCTTTCGAGATTGTTTTCATCTTTGTGTCCCTGTGTGTCTTCACACCCTGGCACAATGCTTGGGGTACCAACGTTGTGATAGTCAGCAGAAGTGGGTAGTCAGCTAGGCAGTCGTAGCACATGCTTTTAATCCCAGCACTCGAGAGGCAGAAGCAGGCGGATCTCTGTGAGTTCGAGACCAGCCTGGTCTATAAGAGCTAGTTCCAGGATAGCCTCCAAAGCCACAGAGAAACCCTGTCTCGAAAAACAAAAAACAAAAACAAAAAAAGTGTTAACTGGCTGTTGCCAGGCCCCCTTGGTCTTTGACTAGTCCCCTTAACTAAACCCTCTGATGCTGAAGGTTTTGGGTTTGGATTACAACATACCCTCTGAAGAGGTGGTCTGGATGGGGCTCTTGATGGCCTGACAGGGGTGGCTGAGAGATGCAGCCCCAGGCTGGACAGAGCCCTGGTGTCCTGGTGTCCGCTGGGCTGGGGGAGACTGTGGTTCAGGGCACCCATTGATTAATACAATGGGTATGTCCACGATGGAGCTGGTGACAGATGGGGGACAGCTACTGGCCTGCTCCTTGGCTACTGGAGGACAGTGGGTGGCTTGGGGATGGCCCATGTTTGGCATGGGGTTGCTGGGAGCCTGGGCATCTGTAGGTCTCACACACTGGGACCCTCGGTCCAGGCTGTGGAGGCTGGAAGAGGAGCTGGCTGGACTTGAAGATGACTGATAGCTGGAGACGCTCGAGTGCAGGAGAGACTGACTGCTGTGGAAAAAAGCAGACGGGGCGGGCATCAGGGTATTGGGCGGTGACTTGGGGCCAGAGCTATGTTCTGGAATCTAGCTATCTGGGGGCCCTATCTTGGGTCAAAGGCAGCATTGCATATACCCTTAGCCTGAACCCAGAGCAAAGAGTAACCCATCTGAATTCCTACAGTGCAGTGGGGGGGGGGGGGGGTACAGAACCTCTCTAGGACTAAAGGATCTTGTCATTTTAACTGGCCAGTGGGATTCACCTCCAGCAATTAAGCCAGCCTGGATTTTCTTTGCTTTTCCAGCCAGGCTGATCTGACTGAACAGACAGCAGGATCTCCACTACCTAGCTATCACTCTCAAAAGCTCTGCAGAGAAGCTGCTGCACTTGGGCTGGACAGGTCTGTGGCTGGCGCAGGGGGAATGTTCTAGTTGGAGGAGGTTAACACCACTAGGCCCTCAAGCATGATGGTGGGATCCTTGGCGCCTTTGCCAGGGACTGCTGTGACCAATGCCTTTGGGGTTTGTGTGTGGGACTGAGGTCTTGTGGCTTAATCATTCCGAAGCAGGATGAGCTGTTGTGCAATTCTACTGTGGGACCTAAGATCAGTGACCTGGAGTCGCTGTAAATGAAACCCAGGGGGTTGGCCCCTCCTACACGGTTTGTGAATGGCCCTGAGAGGGGGGCTTTCATGCATAGATATTTTATCTCAGGCCCCAAGTCTGTGTACACCCCTGAGATTAACTTATCCGTTTTTAAATATTATTTATGTGCGCTGTGTGTGTACGGCGCCTGTGGGAGTGAGAGGACACTGGATCTCACAGGAGCAGAGCAACAGATGGCTGTGAGCTGCCATGTAGATGCTGGGAACTGACCCCGGGTCCTGTGCCAGAGCGGCAGTGAGTGCTCTTAACCACTGCACTACCTCTCCAGCTCCCACCCCTGCATTTTAATAACCTTTCCTCCAGACGGGCCATGTGAGGGCTGGAAAACAGGTGAGACCCATTAACACAGTACTCTGTTCCCAAAGGTCAATGGCAGCCATGAGTTCAGGACACTGAATGATGTTCTAAAGCTTTGAGGGAACTTGAGATAGAAATGGCTGTGACGGTAGAAAAGACGCGTATTTTTGTTTTGTTTTGCTCCTAGACAAGGTGTATCTGTGTAGCCCTGGCTATCCTAGAATTAGCTCTGTAGACCAGGCTGGTCTCGAACTCACAGAGATCCCCTTGCCTATGCCTCCCCCATGCATTTTGCTCACAGAACGGGCTGCCCTTCTGTTGTGTGTGTCTGTGTCCACATGTGTGCTGCCATGCATGCAAGGTCATGAACACAGAACTTACCTTCCAAACACATAGCTGACATCTGATGTGGGGCTTGCTGATAGCATGGAGACCCTGCTGCCCCGCTGTGGGGCCCTCAGCCCTTTCTCCCAACCTGGAGGAGTTGCCAGTGGGGAGCCTGAGGCCCTGCTTTCCCGGCAAGAGCTGGAGTTGCTAAGGGAAGATGGAGTGTGGGGAGAGGGACCCCTGCCCTGGTTCCCAGAGAAGATGAGGCTCTCGCTGCTGCTTCGAGTCTCTCGGGGCATGTCTCTGGAGAATAGGAGGCTGCCACTGCGTGGGGAGCCGAATGGTGGAGTGACACATGGGCTGGAGCAGCGTTGGGGACCGTCGAGGCACCTTGATCTGGTGGAGGTTACTTCGATGTACTTTATATCTTTGGGGAAGGGGGAGAGAAAGAAAGCATTGATAAAAGCCAGAAGCCAGAGAGGATTGATGGGTGGATTGCTGTTTGATTGGCAAAGGTGGTGGGGTATACAGCTGTCCCCTTCTAGAGGGCCATGAATCTTTTTCATGGTTTCCTAGGATGGGAATTAGGGTAGGGCCCCGGAGAAGACTCAGTTTACTAAAAACACCTCGTTCTTCCCCTGTTCAAAACTGCAGAGCCCAGCCTGCCCTGGGTACTCATGGTTCCTTTCTCTGAGCCTGTGGTGCCTGAGCTCGGGGGTCCTGCGTAGAAGGTGGGCATTACATCAGACACACAGGGTTGGTTGGTGGGCTGACTCAGACTTGCTGCTTCAGGAAATGTAGAAACACCCTGGGCTTTGCAGTCACAGGAATGGGTGTGAATCTTGATGTCATCACTTTCTAGCCAGGAGGCATTGAGTAACTTCCGAGACCTCTCCTGGCCTCAGTTTCCTTATCTGCAAAGCTGTGATCTAGACCCAGCCTTCTAGGGTGGTGCTGAGGAGAAACGCAGGATGCTTGGAGCCTGGTTTGTGGCAGGCCACCCCAAGGAGGGAACATCCAAAGGGAGCCCCCTCACCAGCTGAAATGGGTATCTTGGCTTAAGAGAATGGAGTAACAGAGATGATTTGGGGAACTATACTATAAGCTCTGAGAGGGATCTGAGGGTGAGAAAGATTTTTCCTGGAGGCTGGCAAGTTTCTTTCCTTCATTTTAAAAAGGTAAAACGAACAAACAAACAAAAATCGTTGGGCGATAGTGGTGCATGCTTTTAATCCTAACACCCAGGAGGCAAAGGCAGGTGGATTCCTTCGAGTTCGAAGCCAGCCTGGTCTTCAAAGTGAGTTCCAGGATAGCCAAGGCTGTTACACAAAGAAATTCTGTCTTGAGATACAATCTAGCCCCAAACTCCTTATGTAGTTCAGGATAGCCTTGAACTTCTGATTCGGATAATCCTGTCTCTACTTCCTCAGTGCTGGGATCACAGTAGGAGCCACTACACCTAGTTTTATGTGGAACCTCGAGTACTGGGGAGAGAACCCAGGGTTTTATGAATGCTGGCAAGCCCTTTTACTGAGCTGCCTTCCCAGCCCCAACTTCTTTTTTTTTTTTTTTTTTTTTTTTTTTTCTCTTCTTCTTGAGATAGGGTTTCTCTGTGTAACAGCCCTAGCTGTCCTGGGACTTGCTCTGTAGACCAGGCTGTCCTCAGACTCACAGAGATCCACCTGCCTCTGTCTCCCAAGTGCTGGGGCTAAAGGCACGTGCCACCACAGCGCGGCTCCCAACTTCTATTTGTATAAAGACTTCATACTGTTTATGCTCATAACTACCTCTGACCCTCACACTGGCCCTTGGGCAGGCCAGATGTTGTTTTTACACAGGGGATAACTAGTGATTGGAGATTAAGTGGGAGTAGAATTGAGGTTTCTTGCATAACTTTTACCAAAGACAGGCAACAAACTGCTACTGCAGCTCTGTTGCAATGCTATCGATCCCCGTGTAACCAGTGAGAACTCTGAGCTTAGCTAGGCTAAGTGAGTTATCCAAAGCCACACAACTAAAGAAGTGGAGGGCTCCAACATCTGCCCCTGAGCTGTGGGAGCAGCCTCTTCTAGGATGAACAGGAACTCTTTGGGATCCCACCCAAGTCCTTCCTGGTCCTTTCTGGTGTTTGCCCTGGTGTGGGTCTTTTGACTTGGTGAGTTGCCTAGCCCCCAAATATCTAAGACTTTGCCTGGGAGCTGAGCAGGGTGGGAGGGGCCTGTGTGGTGAGTCACCCCAACCCCCACTCCCAACTCCTTGTCCTGAGGTGGATAAGGCTGGGGAGGCGGAGGCTTCCACCCCATCCCCGGGGTGCAGCCGCTGTTTACAGGCCTGTGGGGCAAGTCCCGGCAGTGTAGGGTGGATGCAGGCGCCAGCCGCAGGCCTGGCCGGTGAAGGGAGGGCATGTGGGTGGGGGAGGAGAGAGTTATTAAACAGCCTGCCCTTGGGACTGGCAAACAGCCTTGCCTGGCAGAAACTGCTGGAAAATGAAATGTGGGGGCCTGGTCCAAGGATGGGGTGGGAGGTCGTAGAGAGGGTAAGGGAGATGGTGTTTGGGTCTGGGAGCCAGGTTCCCTCTGGGATGGTAACTCTGAAGAACAAGTATAAAGAAAGGTGAACAGGAGGCAAGGCAGGGGGTGGGGGCCTGGGTTTCAGCGGAGCCTGTAGGCTTCCTCTAAGCAAACTCCAGTTTAGGGAGAGAGACAGGAACAAAGGATTAAGGATTAGAAATGGCCTGGTCTGCCACTTGGTAGGGGGTGACTGAAGACCAAGGCTTCCTTCTTTAATTTATCTATAAAATGAGATCACCAGTTTCCTTCATGGGCAGAGGCAAGGCTAAGCACCACGGGGCTAACCTCCACCAAAAATCCATGCAGCTGTGTCTAGGGAGTCACAAGAGGATGGCCAAGGGAAGAGGCACTGTGAGCCTCCGCCGCTTCTTGATGGCAGGGTCCCTTGATGGCCAGGGCGTGTGGGGAGTAGAGGGGTAGAATCCACACTGAGCATGTGAAGATGTAAGGGATCTCGCCCAGAATTATCCGTAATGTCCTGGCCTGTGGGTGTCTTCACACCAGCAACAGAGGCCTGTAGGAGAGTTTGGGGAGGCTGAGAGTGGGTGCTGACTTAGCTCCCCCCCCCCTCCGCTGTCTTAGGAGGAAGGAGTCCTGAGGTGTGAGAACCGTGAGCAGTGATTGGAGGATAGGATTGTTTACATCCTACCAAGAGGTCGCTAGAGACTGAGGTAGGATGCTCCCCTTGGTTGCTGGTTAGCCTGGACTATAGAGCTAGACTTCGTTAAAAAAAAAAAAAAAGAGGAGGTGGTATGGCAGAGGGCGGTGAGGACCTTCTGGCAACTGCCAGCCTTCCTGTACTCCTTGTTCCCCAGAGTTGGATGGGCCCAGGCTTCTATTGGCAGGCTGTACCCAGGAAATGGGAGGACGGGGACCACTGCCCTGTTAGCTGTCTTCTCTTCGCCAGTCCTTCAGTGGCAGAAGAGCCTGGCTGTTTTCTACCCCTCACCCCACCCACCCTGTGCATGTGGACTCCTAACACTGATCTTGCCTCAACTGGCCTTGGCAGGGTGGAATCCCTGCCTTGGGGCACGAACATTAAAACCCTGGGCTGGCTCCTGCCAACGGTAATTAGGTCTAGAGCGCTTCCCCACAGTGATGTGCCCATGACTGGCCTTGAGCAGCAGAAGGCTGCTTCATGAGGAGACAGCTCCTTTAATGGGCTTGGCAGGAAAAGGGGAAGCGGTGGGAGCCCAGGATCCCCTGGTGGGTGCCAGAGGACTTGGGTGCTATGCTAGCTTCTATCTCAGAGTTGAAACTGCCCTGCGGCTGGCTGTACAAGAACCCCCCCCCCACACACACACAAACTCTACCAAGGCTCAGGGCACCAAGACCCGTAACAAACAAGCAACAAATCCTTTCTCTTGATCTCCACAATACTCTTTGAGGTAAGAGCTCATATTTTGTCCAGTTGAGAAACCAAAGATATAGAGGTGATGTCAACAGCTTGCGTAAGGTAAGGTCGGTCTGAACCCAGGGATTAGGCTAAACAGGTTCCATATTCAAGCCCATGTTAACTTAGTTTTTCATCTGTAAAGTGGAATCAAGTTCTCAATTCAGTGGGGTAGGACAGGACGATCCCAAGCAAGTCAGGCATGGCGGTTCATACTTGTAACCCTAGCGCTTAGGAGGGGGAGGCTGATTGAGGCCAGCCTGGGCTATATGAGATCCTGTAGAAGATACTCTGCACAGGGCCTGGCATGCAGTAAATGCTCAGTAAGTAGATGTTATCCTGGATTCTGCTAGCTGACCCCTGACCTGACCCTTTCTGTGTGCCTGAAGGGTAAGTCTGTTGCTTCCTCCTCCTCAGAATACACTTGGGATTTTTCAAATGTGGGGAACTGAAACAGCACCCAGGGCTTTTTCCAGATTCTCCTGTGTGTGCTGGTGTCGGCTTGTACCAGCTTGTTATGAGCTGAAGACTGCAGATTTCAGATGTTGTCTAGCTGGTTGCCAAATTTGGCCATTATTAACAACCACATTCTGCAAACAGATAGTGAAGTAACTTACATTCAAAAGGAAAGCTGACCAGTTGCAGGGTTCAGGAGGCGGGTGGAGAGGCAGGACTAAAGTTTGGGCTACTCCGAGACTCTTGTCTCCAAAAACTTAAACAACAACAACAACAAAAATCCCAAACATATATGGAAGGTCAGATACCCCAAACCCATACATCCCCCATTATTTTACTATTTTTCAGGCTGTAAGATTTATGGCTATTGTGTTGATATAATGAGTTTGGTTTTTTGTCTTTTCTTTTATGTTGAGGGCAGCTTATGTTACCACTGACTTGCATTCCCAGCTCTCCTCCCATGTTAACTTTTTTTTTTCTTCCCATTTTGGAGACAGGGACTTGCTATGTAGTGCAGGCTAGCCTAGAACTTAAGATCCTCCAGGTGTGTGCCACTGTGCCCTCTGGTATGTCGTGCTGGCCTATAAAAGCAGTGGACTACTTCACTTTCAATTGTTCCCTCGGCGACGTCCTGTCAGGAGTCAGAATCGGGAGAATTTACACCATGGAAGTAGGCAGATGCTTCAAATCAGAGCTTCTGCCTCCCACACAGGGAGCCAGCATCCTGCTTCTCTTGGGCTGTATGTCTCTCTCACCCCACTATTTCCAACTTGGGCCTTTCTCAAGAGATGCTCCCCTAAACAGGAATTGGGGCAACCTAGAAATCCTACAATAATTTCAGGGAACCAAACTTAGGCTATAAAGAGAAACATCAAGAGCTTAATAAGGAAGGCTCAGGGACTCTGCATTTAGGAAGCCCTTACAATATACACACCATGGTGGAAACCACTTGCACGAACTAGCACATTTGAGTTCTCATCAAAACCACATAAAACCGAAGTCTACCATTTTCCAAACTCAGGGACCAGACGGAGTTGGGTAGTGAGGGGAATCTGTATTTACACCTTTTGTGCAGCAGAGAAATCAGCAAGGTCAGAAGTTTGTTTAGGGCTGCATAGTATTCCCCACAGGATAAGGACCATTGTGCCTCAGACCCCACAGAAGAGCCCTTATTTGCTTGAGGTCTGTCTCTCACCCAGCTCCTCTCTTGGCTGTGCCCCAAATCCTTACCTAAGGCTTCAGGTTCCTCTTTCTTGCTTCTTGAAGTGATGCCACTGGCATGCTCAGCCTGGGGACCAGCAGTCCCAGAGGGAAGCAGCTGGAAGGTGGGGTCTAGTTCCAGGATCATCTGGTTGAGGGTCTCCAGAGAGAAGTCAATGCAGGAGTCCATGTCTTGTGAAGTCCCTGAGACTTGCTCCCCAGGGTGCTGCAGTAGGCTCTGAGCTTTGGCCTCTGCTTGCTGGGCTTGCTGGAACCTGCTGGAGGTGCCTCTGCAGGGTGTGGGGGCCATCAGAGGCTGGGTTCCCCAGCTCTCTGTGGTATAGTAAGGGCACAGTGCTGGGAAGTCAGGCCTGGGGCTTGGGTGCAGGGCCATCCTGGATTCCTCATGGGCAGTCAAGCTGACCACATGACCTCCAGCCAGCAGGGAGCTGGACATGACAGGTCAGTGAGTCCAGTGGTTTACCTCTGGCTTCTTCTGATCAGCCTCACTTCTACGCCAGAGCTATATCCTGCTCAGAGAGCTCCAAGGACCTGAAAGAGGAGGGTGGGATCTGAGTGACCTCTGTAGGTGATGCCTCTGCCTGGTCCTCGGTCAAGGACATAACAGCTCATTCCACTAAAGGCCCCATTGGCTTCCTGGCTCTGACACTCATGAGCTGTGTAGGTGTGGACAAAGGAATTAATTATTTCCCCTGTCTTAGTTTCCTCATTTGAAAAATGAGCTAACCTTAATCATATGCTTAGGACAATGCCTGGGATGTCTAAGCCTATGCAAGTGATGGTTAAGTGACTTAAAGGGATGATTGCTAATCACTTACTATGTCATGTGCATCTTTCTAAATGAATGTTAGCTGTTTATGAGGGACTACTAAGTTCAGAGGCTCTGAGAGTTATATATAAAGTCCTCTGAGTTGTTGTAACAACTTGATGAAGTACATACCACTATTATCCCATTTTGTAATGCAAAGAACAGAGATACAGAGGGCTGGCTCAGTGGTCATATAGGCAACCAATGTCAGAGCAGGACTGGACCTCAGGCTGCCTGCTATCTGACCTCCTGTACTTAGGCTAGTTGGTGACTTGGCAGGCCAGCAGCTGTGGGACTTGGAAGAGATTCTGTGGCTCTGCTGGGAAAGCCAGGGAGGACTTTCAAGGAGAAGGGGACATGTAAAAGCAGAAGAGAAGGAGCTAGATGGGCATGGTGGGTAAGAATGAGGAGGCGATATAGTGTTCAAAGCAGCGTATGGCATGTGCAAAGCCCAGTAGCCAGATAAAGGAGGCCAAAGGTATCCAGGAAACAGGCGCTTGAGATGGAGGGCTAGCTAGGCTCTGCTAAGACTTACAGGCTCAGCTCAGGGCTGATAATTCATACTCTGGAGGTAAGAGAGAGCCACAAGAAACTATATATATATATATATATATATATATATATATATATATATATATTTGAATTGGGTAGTAATATGACCAGATGACAGTCACCACCCCCCAGGGCTCAACCAGAAAAATTAATGCCCTAACTTCCTACCTCCTTCATTGTGAAAAAATTTTCCCGTTGTCTGACCTTGACGCTACATACTTGTTTCTCATGAATTGGTGTGGGGCAGGAGGTAAAATGTCCAGGGACAGACTAATGAGAAAACCAAGTAGGACCAGGATGGGACACAGTGACCTTAGTCCTTCTGGTGGCCTTGAGCCTTGCTATCTGCCCATGAAGCCCCAAGATGCTGTACAAGAAACCATTAGACAATTCTGGCCATGACTTAGATGTCGGGGCTTATGGAGTATGATACCTTCCTGAAGGGTGCCCACTTATAGAGCACTCATCAGGTACCAGGCACTGGTCAACATGTTGTGTACAAGCTGTACCTGGTAATTTAGCTCCTTGCAACCATAGCCTCTGTCCTCAATGCATTTTGCCAGAATCACAAAACTCTAGGCATTGGGTGTGGTACACACACTTGTAATCCCAGCATTAGAGAGGTAGAGGCAGGAGGATCAGGAGCTACACAGAGAGTTCGAAGCCAGGTAGAGATCTGTGAGACCCTGTCTCAATCCCCCACCCCTCAACCAAACAACAAAACCCCCCAAAGGAACCAACAGAAAGCTCATATCTGGGATTCAGATCTAGGCCCTGAACCTTTGTAATTCTTAGTTCAAAGGCAGAGGGGCCACAGAGATGGAGCATGATATGCTGAAGGACAAAAAGCCACTGTCTGCACCCCCATCCTACCACCCAGTTCTTCACTCCAGGCGCCTATGGCTTTATTATCAGACTTCTTGGCTGGGTCCTGGGGTGGGGATGCAAGCTTATGTGGGGAAGCCATGTGGGGAAGTGTATCTATAAATGGCAGTGAAGGGAGCTGGCCTGAGCTCCTTCCTTGGGGGCAGCTAAGGACACAGAGCCCAAGACACAGCTTTTCCCACATAGTCTCCAAGAGTCCAGGGAGTCAGGCACAGCTTGCAGGGTTCACTGCCAGGCCTACAGAGGAAGCTAGGGATGCTAGGCAGGGTGCACTGGAAACTGAGTATCCCCCATGACCAGGATTCAAGATTGCTCACATGCTTATCCTTTGTGCTTCTGCAGACAGGGCACTTTCCTCTCTGGACAGACCTCAGTGGTTTTACCTATCTGAGGTGACCTGATAATTACAGACACTTGACACTCTTTCTATTTCCCAACAGTTCGGAGTGGGGAGTGCTGGCAAGGCTGAGGACTTGCCTGGGCTACAAGTGTGTGTCCGGGTTTCATGGTGGGTATTCTGCATTCTTCTGTCGCAGATGTAAGATCTCTCCTACTTCTGCCCCTTTTGGGATGCTGGAATCAACTGGTACTGAGCATCGGTGGAGACCTGAGGACAGGAAGCCCTTCTGCAGGGTCTCAGTAAACCTTCCTAAATCACTGGTAGCTCCAGACACAGGCTCTGTCTGCTGCTCTGGGGTGTTGCTGTACACTCCAGGCCCTCCCAGTGCGTGTCTCTGAATGCCTGGACTCAGAGTGTGAGTGTGTGTGTGTCTTAGGAAGGATTCCAGTTAGCTCTGCCCTATTTGCAGCTGCCTCCTACCTTCTTTTCAGATTCTAACTCTAGTTTCTTTCTCTCCTCTTCCCCAAACTCTGGGGGCAGGAACTCCTGGGGACACTGGGAAAGCTCTATGACCAGTCTTTGCTTAACTCTTTTTAACCTATCCTCTCCCTCATAGGTAGGGAAAGCAGAGGATGAAACCCCAGTTTCCCCAAAGCACAAGGCCAGCATTCCCATCATTTGAGCCCACCTCCTCATTGCCCTTGCCTCCCCAAATTCCAAGAGGCCTCACTGGGGGCAGCGGGCAGGGCTTTAGGGAGAGTGGATAATCTTCTAGTCCTGCCCTTGTCAAAGCTTACTGCTCTGCCTTGGAGTCAGGACGCCTGGGTCTGTCCAGGTTCTAATCAGGTGTCCAAGACCCCTGCCTAGTTTCTCCCATGCACCCCGGGTTCAGCCTTAGATCTCTTTAAGCGCTGGACTGGATTCCCCCACCCCTACTCCAGTGAGTAGAGGCACCTACCTGTTCCGTGGCCCCTGCTGCACTCACTTAAGGCTCCCCGGATCGAACTGTGCTGAGCCCAGGTAAGAGCTGGCGCCAGCAAACCTCAGGACCCGCCTTAAGAACAGCCCGCCCTTGGCCAGTCCTTCTCCAGAGGCCCTACACGTGGCCTTGACAGCGGCCAGCCCCGCCCCAGAGGTGTTCCAACCGCTCAGGTGCGGCAGTCCCAGGCTGGGAGGGGTGTGTGTGCTGCAGGGGGGGGGGGAAGGGGGCGTTGAGTGGCGGGCTGGCCTGGCAGGCGCCGGTTAGGGTGTGTGTAGGGGGCCCCAATCTCCCAACTTGGCCCTTCCCATGCACCACATGATCAAGAGGATGCCCAGACCAAGGTGTGCTGCTGGCTTCCCTTTCACCCTGTGGTGGCAGGAGGAAACAGAGGGTTGGCAGAGACAGTGAGAGGGAGAACTTGGGTCTTGGTTAAAAACTCTAGTGGAGACCCGTCCTTCCCCAGACCTTGTAACAGGACAGAAGTTTAGAAAAAACAACATGGGAGCCTCACAGAGGCGTCCAAATCCACACGATAGGTGGAAAAAGAGCTACACAGCTTCTCTTCCTGAAAGTAGCAATTGGAAGGGGTCCTCAAGTACCCATATGATCCCGCAGATGCCAAACTTGGTGAATACAGGTTTATCTTCGAAGAAACTGGCTAGGTGCAAGCCAAGGCAGCCTTGGTCTGTAGGCTTAATGAGTGGGAGGAACAACTGCTGGGTTTCTTGAGAGGAAGGGGTGAGCTACAAGAAGGAAAAATGGCCTGGGGCTGTAGCTCAGTTGGTACTTTGCATGTAGGAAGCCCCGGATTATTTTCTTCTTCTTCTTCTCCTCCTCCTCCTCTTCCTCCTCCTCCTCTTCTTCCTCTTCCTCCTCTTCCTCCTCCTCCTCCTCTTCCTTCTTCTGTTATTTTCTTCTTCTATTATCTTCTTCTATTTTCTTCTTCCTCCTTCTCTCCCTCCCTCCCTCGCTCCCTCCCCCCCCCCTCTCTCTCTCTGTGTGTGTGTGTGTGTGTGTGTGTGTGTGTGTGTGTACTCATATGTAGACACTTGTTTAGCTTAACTGGCCCAGAACACTGATTTCAGTTCCAGCTGCCCAGCAGACCTTGCCCAGCCCCTTCTTCCCACCCTCTGCATTTGACATTACTGGCATTCTGAAGGGGATGACATATCTTTGTGTAGGTATTAGCGGGACTGTCTTCCCCACTCCACTGCCCTGGTGGGTCACATTCTTCCATCTGCAGACCTGGGGTAAATCTCTTGCTAGGCTGCTTAATTCTTTTTACATTTGGTGATATTTTGGTGAAGGATTTGGCACCTGTGTTCATGAGGGCTATTGTTCTGCCACTGTTCTATGGTTGTAGCACCTTTGGCTTTGGCGTTTGGGTAAGGATGGAGTCAGGAAGGACCCCTCTTACGGCTGTCTTCTGAAAGTGAGTGCGGAGAACTGGTGTGATTCCAACCTTAACTATTCCAGACCCTTCCTTCTGCATCAAACTATCCTAGCGCTTCCTGCATTGGGAGATAATTACAGTTTTCCCATCCTGATCCCTGGACTGCATGCCTGTGGAATCCAACTGAAGACTGGACAAAATTGTATCTGTACAGGCTTCTTGCCATTATCTCCTAAGTATAACAGCTATTTAAATTTTTTACATTATATTAGATATAAGTAATCTACAAATGAGTTAAATATGTGAGAAGACGTGTTGTATAGGTCCTACACAAATACATCATCTTATATAAGGGACTTGAGCATATGCAGACTTGGGTAAGGGGAAGGGTCTTATGACCAGCCAATTACCAAAGGGACTGATAGACAGGGTGGTATTTCTTTAATGCACACGCACAGCTCTTTTCCTTTTTTTCCCTCTCCCCCTCCTCTTTCTTTAATAGAGTCTCACTACATTGACCAGGTTAACCCAAAACCTACAACCTCCTGCCTCAACCTCCAGAGAGTTGGGATTATAGGCATGAATCGACATATTCTGCTTCATGGCATTGCTTTTTCAACCTCAAACACATTATTTCTCTGGCTTATGTTCCACATTTACCCTAAGAGAAGGGATTCTCCAGAGCAGAATGTTTAAAGATACACTTAAAACAAAAAACAAAAACTTTGCTCTTTTTGATGTTTCCTGCACTTTCCTCATGAAAGAAGAGTGGAAACCGATTAAATAAACAATCAAAAGTTATTTCTGATAGGTTTTTTTTTTTCTTGTAGGAACTCCATTTTGTGTGTAGACATGTGTTTGTCTCTATGTGGGTGTGTCCTAGTTAGCAACTGTCAACTTGACACAGCCTAGAATCACGTGACGAAAACAAGTCTCAACTGAGTATTGTCTTTATCAGATTGGTTCATGAACAAGTGTTTGAGATACTGTCTTAATTGACGTAGGAAGGCCCAGCCCACTGTGGGTGGTGCCTTCTTGGGCAGGTGGTCCTGAGTAACTGAAGAAAATGAGCTAAACATAGCCTGTGAGGAAGCCAGAGAGCTAGCCAGCAAGCAGCATTCCCTAGTGCTCTCTACTGAAGTTCCTGCTCTGACTTCCCTTCTGACAGACGTGTAAGAGGAAACAAACCCTTTCCTCCTCTAAATGGCTTTACTACAGTGACAGAAAGCAAGCCTGTGTGTATGTGTGTGTGTGGGTGGGTGTGGGTGGGTGTGTGTGTAGGCGAGAGGTCAACTTCAGGGATCTATCATGAAGAGCCATCTACCTTTGGGATCATGCCGCTGTACCCTGTTTTTGTTGTGGTTTTGTTTTTATGTAGGTGCCCACGGGCTGAATGCAGGTCCTCAAGATTTCATGACAAACACTTGACTGACCGAGCTACCTCCCTGATCACAGAGAACTCCATCATGTATTCATTTAAATACATTCATTGAGCAGTTGCATTTAGGCATGGGATACAGAAATGAACGGACAAAGTTGCCAACTTGGAGGAGCTCACTGACTATGAGAAGGAAAGCTTCCAGTCTAGATTCTAGGTTCTGGTCTCCCAAAAACTAGAGCCCCACTATCCTACCTGGCAGCCATCTGTCAGGCGCAGTTTTTGGGTTAGTCCACACTGAGACTCTCTTTGGGGTAAAACGTAATGGTTTAGCATGAAGGATATAAGCTGTGTCATTCATAATTAAAATTTTATGTTTGCTGTGTGAGGTGGCTTTGGGCCATTGTATGCATCTGGAGGTAAGAAGCCAATTTGTGGGAGTCAGTTCCCTCTTCACCACATGAGAGCTGAGAATCAATCTCAGGGCATAGGGCTGGGCCGCAAGGGCCTTTCCCGCTCTGCCGAGCCATCTCTCTAGCCCTCTTACTCATAATGTTCATTTCAATGTTGTGTTGAAATGACGATGCTTTGTGGCTCTTGGGTTAAATAAAATAGATGATTAAAATTAGTTTCATCTGTATCAAATTACCACAAACCCAGTGACTTTAAACAACCAAAGTACATTGTCTCACAGTCATGAGCCCCAAATCGGGCCAGGACATGCTGCTTTTGGAGGCTGGGGGAAGAATCCATTCCCCGCCTCTTGCAGCTTTTGGGAGCTGCCTGGATGGAGTCCTTGAATTTGTGGCTATATCACTTCTATCTCCTCTCATGCCAACTTCAATCCCTTCTGTCCATCTTGTACAAGGCCACTCAAGATGGCATCGGTGGAACCATCCGGATAATCCAGGGGTTACTCTCCTCACCCTGAAATCCTTAATTGCATACACAAAGGTCCTTCCCCATTTCCCACGAACTCATCACTATTTAAAGGCCCTAGGGGATAGGACCTGATATACTCCATATCTTTGGGTGCTTGTTATTCAACCTACTCTATGTGTGGCTTGCATTATATTTTTATGGAGCAGCTTCAGCCCATAGTAACCCAAGAAGCTCAGGAAAAGGGTCATAGGCTCAAAAAGGACTTATGGTTTGCTTTTTCTTTCTTCCTTTCCTTTCCTTTTTTTTTTTTTTTTTTTTTTTTTTTTTTTTTTTTTTTTTTGGTTTTTGTGTTTAGTTTTCAAGACAGGGTTTCTCTATGTAGTCCTGGCTGTCCTGGAACTCCCTCTGTAGACCAGGCTGACCTTGAACTCAAGATCTGCCCTGCCCCTGCCTCCCAAGTACTGGGATTAAAGGTGTGCAAAATCACTGCCCAGCCTCAAACAGATGGGACTGAAGGGGCATTCCTAGGAACCCTTTGGGACTGAAGGGGCATTCCTAGGAACCCTTTGGAATGGTTGCTGTAGTAGGAACACAGGGGAGGCTGGCAAAACTGTTGAGAGAGGAGTCTGGAGAGAATGTGTGTTGTACTGTGGCTCCCACCTAACCTCCAGAGCATGTTTGCTAGACACCACATTTCTCAGACTCCTTTGCTGTTAGGATCCTGCTGATGCAGTCAGTATGTCCTCTATACAGACTTGGGGGTAAGGAATTGGTACAGGAAGCACCTTACTTCTGCCTTGCAACTTGTTGCTGATGGTCAGTATGGTATGGACTCTGGGACTTTGCACAGCTGCCATCTGGTATCCAGCCATCAGTTTGGTGGTTACGAAGTTGTTGAACTGGCTCTTGATCCCCTAACCAGTTATGAGCAAGGTTCTGGAAGTCACTGGTTCCTGAATGGTTCCTCTTTTTTTTTTTTTTTTTTTTTTTTTTGGTTTGGTTTTAGTTTTGTTTGTTTCTTGAGATAGGGTTTCTCTCTATTGCTTTGGAACCTGTCCTGGAACTAGCTCTGTAGACCAGGCTGGACTCCAACTCACAGAGATGAGCCACCTGCCTCTGCCTCCCAAGCCCTGGGATTAAAGCCACCAACACCTGGCTTCCGCATTTTTTTTTTTTTTTTTTTAAGTTCCCTGATAGCACCAGAGAGGGGCAACTTCTCCAGGGATTCTTTCAAGCATTTTTCCCCAGGAACTGTGTCAGGTACAGCTGGCTTTTCCAGCCCTTCCAATGCATTTTCTAGCATAGGATAACAGCATAAAATCCTCTCTGTTCAAATTAGCTAGAATTAGCCCCTGTCTTGGTTACTTTCCTATTGTTGTAATAAGACACCATGACCAAGGCAACTTAAAAAGAACGTGTCTA